TGACCGGATTCCGGCCAGGTGAGGAGGACTTCGACCCCCCACCTGTGAAGCAGGGATCCAAAGGAGGTTTCTCCCCCACACACACGCACACACCTGGCCGCAGGTGGACCGAGGACTATCCCACCTTCCCTCGCCCCGTTTTTCGGCTGCCCTACCTGGGCAGTAGCAGCGCAAGACCCCCGACTGGATAAGCGAAGCGGGAACGGAGATTTGGTCGAAGAGGCAGCTGTACGACTCCGAATCGTCCATCCAGGGACCGGTGATCAGGACCTTGACCCCTCCCTGTACGCGTACGGGGAGTCCAGAGGCGGGAGTCAGAGGGTCCGCCGTCCCCTTCCTTCCCCCGCCCCGCCCGTCCCGCCCCGGCTTCCCGTTTTGGACACCCACCTCGGGGTAGGACCACTCGGGCGAGAAGTCGGTGATGGACACTAAGGGCTGAGCGGAGCTCCCCAAGATGGCTTCCGCCGCGTAGCAAGGCTGGGGCAAAACCGGCTCTGGACTCTCTGCCCCGGGACTGGGGCCGTTCGGACTGCCCGCTCCCTCGGCCGCCGTGCCCTCCGTCATCAACTCGCCGAGGAGATCCGGGAAATGGCCGTCGAGGGAGAGGCCGAAGGGACCGCCGCCGCCGGCCGCTGCCGCCACGCGCTGGATGACCGAATACAGCTCCTCCTGCAGCTCCTTGGGGGAGATCTCCGGGACCCCGACGGGCTCTTCCTCTCCTCCGGGCAACCCGCCGGCCCGGGAGGAGCCCCCCTCGCCCGCCGTCTCCATGGGCGCCTCGGCGCAGCTGGTGGCTTCCGCCGCCGCCAAGGTCGGGCTGGCCGAGAGCGGGGCCCCATCGTCCTGGATGAAGAAGCGGTTGGCGGAGACGTAGAGAGAGTAGCCCGCGGACGGGGCTTTCTCCGGGGGCTCCGGTTCGGCTTGGGACTCCCGGCCGCCCCCATAGGTCTGCCCTTGCTTGGGGCTGTTGAGGAAGCGATCCGGGTCGAAGGCGTCCGCGGCTCCCTCGTTGGTCTCCATGGCGGAATCCAGGCTTTGCGAGAGGACCAGGCCGGGCAAGACGGAGAGGCCGAGAGGCGCCGTGGGAGCCGCCCCGCCCTCTCCGGAGAGCAGGTGTTGGCTGGGGGTCAGCGCCAGCGGCTTCTCGGCCCCGCTTGGCCCAGCCACGACGAAGATGGCGCCGACGGATAGGGTGCCCGGAGGCCGTTCCTGTTTGGGGAAACTGCCGGGCCGGGTCAGAGCCGGGGAAGGCTGCTGTATGGAGTCCGGGACGGCGTCGGCCATGGCGGGGGAGCCGGTTTTGGCCGCTTTGGGGCCTTTGGTGTCCACGAGAGACCCCTTGGCCGCCTCGGCCTCGGCTCTGCCCTCATGGCCGCCGGAGATGTTCTGGACTTCCGTCAGGGCTGGGAACGGGCAGGGACGGACATCCAACTTTGGGGAGATGATCCGGTGCTTAATGCTGTTGCATTTGTGCGGGACGTGGCCGGGACTTCCTGCGAGGAGAGGACAGGGGTGTGTGAGCGGGTGATACGGCAAGTATTGACAGCCTGAGACGAGGGATCCTGGCTTAATTTGCAGGCTGGGCGGGGCCTACCCCGATAACTGGGCAACCTCCGGTCCAGGCGGCGTTTACTCGTCGCACCGGTGGCCATCTTGACTTCCTGCCATGGCGACACAAGCTCTCTCTCATACCCCCACACACGCAGACAATGCGCTGTCCAGACAGAATTAATGGGATTTGGGATAGTTAGTTAGGAACGCGGAGCTGTCCCCGTTACCATTTACCATGGTAAATGTAGTTAAGGTATCCTGGGAAAGGTAGTTTATGTCACGCGGCCAAATCTGTAACCCTGATCGATCACTGAATGGTGGGTCAGGGGAGGTTTCTTCACTCTTGCCTGAACACCCAGCCTCGCGCTAACAACTCTACCCTCCGCCTCTACGACCATGGCATGAAATAGGGGCTAGAAAGATTATTATATCCTTTGACGTGACGATTTCAACTATGCAAAGAATTGGACGTTCGAGGCACCTCGACATAACGGCGAGTTACCTCTACCCTCTGCCTCTACGACTATGGGATGAAATACGGGATAAGATAATACTATCCTTTGACACGACGATTTCAACTGGGCAGAGAATGGGACATTCGAGGCACCTCGACGTAACGGCGAGTGACCTTGAGGATGCCTAACCCGATCCAATAAAAGAAACTTTGTAACGGAAGAATTTGTGGCGTTCTTCTGTCTTTATAGTCCGCAATGCGAACCGAAAGACAGACGAGACAAGCTAAGTTGGATCCCGCCTCTCTTAACCCCGACCCCCGCTTTGGGGATCGACCCGGCCCTTCCGGAAGGGTTTCTTCCCCCGATCCCACCAAGTTCTCTTCGCTCCCTCCGGAAACGAGTGACGCCGGAGTCACTCCGCTGGTGGGACGCCGCGGAGAGCCCGTTGGAATAAAAGGGAAGGTCGGCGGGAGAGGGAGGACCACTCACCGAGGCTGTTGCTGCACAGACAGGCGTGCGTCCGGGGCGGCGGCTTGGCCTGGTGGCTCTCCAGAACTTGCTGGACCAACTGTTCCACGGACAAGTCGGCGGGGTTGTTCCCGTTGGTGCACGTCCACTTGACCCCGTGAACTGCGGGAAGGGAAAAGCGCAGGGTGTCCAGCCCAGGGATCTCGAAAGCTTTTTCTCGCGAGGAGACCCCTTGACCACACCCCACACCCCACCCCGCCCCAAGAGGACGGCAGCTCCGGGCCGGTCAAATGGGGACGGAGGACGAGGAGGCCACTGGGCTGGTGCTTCTCAGCAGCATCTACTGGCGGCCCGAGGCTCAGCCCAATCACCGTCCGCTAGAGAGGCGGGCGGGACATTCAGGGCTCCTCGCGTCAGGAAAAAGAGGAGACGTAGTCGCCAAGTTACGACCGTCACGGAGCGTGTAACTCATGCGGGGCCCGGGGTTGCGGTTCGCCGGCAGCAGGGAACGGAGGGCTGAGGCCTAGGCGAGGCGAGGAGCCTGTGTGAGAAGCCGGGGTGGGGCCGGGAACGATCGGAGAGTGGCGGGGAGGCTGCCTGCGGAGTTTGGGG